AATTTTACACTCACATGAATGTCATGCCAGGGAGCAGGGCTTAATTTGTGCTTGAAAACGCTGGATCCGACACCTCATTTTACCCGATCCCTCTCCTCAACTTCCCTCCTTTCCCGTCCGTTGTTCACTTTCACTTTCTTCCGCGACTTGCCAACCTTACTCACTTTCGTCCCTCTCCGCCATCCAATGCCCTGCATCCCCCAACCACCGCTCTACGCTTTCAATGCACGACACCTCAACATCCGCAGGTAACATGCCGGATCTGTTACCACGATTTGTTTCGGGACCTCTCAATTCACATATTATGCACTTCCTGTGAGTATGCCCAACCAGTCCACATGTGTTCTGTGGACTTGGAGGAGGCATTCGACCGTGTCTCTCGTGTCATGGCATTCTGTGGAAGGTGCTCTGGGAGTATAGGGTCAGAGGCACTCTGCTAAGGGCATTCTAGTCCCTGTATGAACAGAGTAGAAGGTTCACATTGGTTCACATTGCCGGCAATAAGTCAGACTTGTTTCCAGTGCACCTTGGACTCCTGCAGTCACCAATACTTTGCCACCAATTATGCTCATAATTTTTCTGCATGGAATTTCAAATCGCAGCCTTGGGCTGGAGGGGGTCCGGTTTGTCGACCACAGGATTTCATGTTATCCACAGACAATTTTGTTCTGTTGGCTTCATTGAACATGGACCTTCAGCATGCACTGGGGCGGTTTGTGCCGAGTGTGACGCGGTTGTTATGAGAACCTGAGTCTAAGTCCTAGGCCATAATGCTCCAACGGAAAAAGGTGGTTTGCCATTTCCAAATTGAAGGAAAGTCCTTACCCCAGGCGGAGGAGTTCAGTGCTGAAATTAGTTTTCTTCGCAGGGTGGTAGAGGGGGGTCTGGATGCAGACCTGGTGCAGTGCAATTTGAGCTGCATCCAATGCTTTTTAATGGGCTCACCAAACCCCACCCCTAACCCTCCCTGTCACAGTGACGTCACTAACTCCAAGTTCATTGTTGCATGGCTGAGTGACGCAATCTCAGCTTGCATCAAAAAGGCTGCATCCAGATACTATTGGGGTGGCGGGGCCCACCCTTATAGACAGGGTGAGGCAGGGGGGTAGCTGTACGAAATCCAAAAGTTTACATTCTTAATTACCTGTTTCTAACTGATCTGTCTCTAAAAGTGAGGGGGACGGGGGGATACTTCCCCGTCACTTTTAGGTTGCTTCGCCCCTGGGGTGAGGAGCTCTATCACTCAGGAGGAGCTCGGTGTAGAGCTGCTGTTCCTCCACATCGGGAGAAGTCAGCTGAGGTGGCTCAGACATCTGTTTCCGATGCCTCCTGGTTGCTTACCTAGGGAGGTGTTCCAGACATGTCCCACCAGTGGGAGACCTCGGTGAAGACCCAGGACACGCTGGAGGGACTATGTCTTTTGGCTGCCCTGGGAACGCCATGGAATCCCCCTGGAGGAGCTGGAGGAAATGTCTGGGGAGAGGGAAGTCGGGTTCACTCATAAGATTGTTTCCCCCGCGATTCAGTCTCGGAAAAGCGGATGAAAATGAAATGAAAATAAAACAAGTGTAATTTTCAGCAATTACACGTATTAAGTAAGGAAAAGGAAACTGACAATGGATCATTGTAAAGAACAGAAATATTTGTTTTATGGTGTAGGAAAATTATGAAAAACACAACATTGCCCACTTCACCTTAAGAAAAAGCCTCATGATAACCGCAATTTCATCCAAAACACAATAAATTGATTAGCTTACTAGTTATTAATACAGCTGTCAATGGGGTATATGCACATAGACTTTTAATTTCAGCCAGCCAGCCAGCCTCAGCGCTTCCAGAGAACTGTCTTTCTATTATACATTGCCACATTTAAAGTCTGATTCCTTTAAAAATCAGCGATCTTCACAGCCATATACTGTATAAAGTGGGTTTCAGACCGGACAAGAAGCACTGCATTCAATTCCATTTCCCCCTGCCATGTCTTTAAAATATGACAGTTTATTTTATCCCAGTATTTTCAATGCCGTTTCTGCACTCACCTGCTTATCCTGACAGCACTTGCGGTTACAGTCTTTCATCGCGTTTTACGCTTGAGCAACTAAATGAATGCTCAAGTCTATTTAATTGAATATATCGTAATTAGATTACAACATCAACACTGTAAAAGGAACCTTATGAAATTGAAAGTAGTCACATTAAGCTTTCACTGGAAGTTTATCAATGGCTCAAAAACACTACCTGTGCATATAGCCCATTTTAAGATCTCCATGCATAATAGATCATTGCAGGAGGCTTTTCTGTTTCATTCCTTTTCAAGATGCATATGGATAAAAAATGTACAACATAAAATATAATTTTAGCAAATATACTTATAAATTAAGCTTTAATAGACAATTGACCCCTTATTATTAGAAAGTAATCCATATCCAAGGTGGTAAGCATTATTTTCTAATGATCCAATAAAATGGAAGACCATTTCAATATGGTGATGTCACTGGCCTATGAACATTTCCTGTTTGTTTATAACTGTTCAAAGACAATTCAATCATAACTTAATTTAAAACATCTACCATAACATTATTTATCAGTATGTGGCTCTTTTTGGATTCTCGGAAGCTCTAGAAATTAAAAAATATAAAACAGGAAACACACTGGGACCATTGTTTTTGTTTACAACCCCTCAAAATGGTCTACCACACCTAGAGATGAGATGAGTTGACATGTTGTATTTCAAGACTTGTTAGATTTTTTCCTTAACTGCTCCTGTGGGTTGGACTAATTTCATACGCATCTCAACCAAAGCCTTTTGTTTTGTTTTTATTAGCTGTTTTGACAGGCTGTGAAATAACTAGTATTTAGTTATATACTAGTAGAGTATAGTTGTATGGTACTGTATTGGTCAAGACATGACTGAAACTAGCTGTGTCATGAAAATAATTACACACCTTAGATGTTCAACAACCAGTTTAAGAGTTCACAATTAGCTGATGATTGAAACAAGGCATGTTTTGGCATGCTGTCTTGGGAGAGAGCCCTGAGCTCAGAAGATCCTCCAGCCCAGGGCTCCCTCCAATTTGAAGGGCGAGAGGGGAGTTTGAACAGGTTGGTCTCATGAACTTCCCTGGTTTAGTTAGGACAGATTATTAGGACTACTGGTTTTGCTATGGAAGGATGAACTGCTGACTGAAAGGTAAAAATAAGAGCCTGATTAAGAGTTAATTTTCTGTGCCTATTTGGTTTAATTAATTAACATATCGCATGTTTTTGGACTGTGGGAGGAACCCGGGGGAAATCCATGTGAGCACGGAGAGAACATGTAAACTCTTGAACCAGTGACCTTCTTGCTGTGAGGCAACAGTGCTAACCACTGAGCCACCATGCCGTCCTATTCAGGAAACTAAGGAGGAGGAGGAGGGGTAGAAATGGGATTCTTCAAGCTGAAGATAACTGAGGTAAAAAAATTGGGTTTTTATAGTGTGTTGGGAATCATCTGATTGGAGAATCATGTGTTAGCTAATGCACGACCAGCCATGGTCAATCATAAGCATGTGATCCTCTCAGAATTAGTTTATAAATAAACTTTACTAGTAATCAAGCAACCAACAATGATAACATATAATGTATTCTGGGAAAGATAGTATGGGTGTGTCATAATTAAAAGCCCATTTACATTTTTGAATGTTTAGTTGATAGAATGTTCATCAGTTTATGGTTATTAATAAAAAAAAAACCTAAGAATTGACATTAGACATTCTTATGGTTTCAAAACAAAACTTCCCTGAAACCAAACGCACACATTTACACAAACAGAAATAAACAGAAATGAGTAACTGTAGCGTATACTATGGTAAATATTAGTGAAGGTATGTGCCATATTAGTTAAAAAAAAACAAGTGCTGCCAGAAACGAACATCATGATTTTGCCAAGTACGCTGTGATCCTGGAACATCATTTTTGTTGGAAAATATAATCCATACCCATTCCCTACCCCTAAACCCAATAATAAATGTAAATTCTTCTCAAAATCAGAGGCAGGGCTCAAAATGAACCTTTTTGCTTGGTAGCACTGGTGCTCTGAATTTTAAAAATTTAGCTGCACCAGCCAAAATTTTGTCGCACCACCAATTATGAGCACTGTTACTACAATTTTTATATTAACATATTTGTTCCATTTGAATGATGAAGGACTGAATTATTAGACAGAACCTCTCACACTTAAATTGTGTAGATGTGGCAAATGTTATTTGCAAAGTCCTTCCCACAAGCTTTAAAGTAAATGCTTTAGTCATTTTCATAGTGGACTTTAACCCAAAGGAAATCTTTTATCTACTCTTTGAAAAGGTATTAACATTCACCTTATGATCACTGATCAGATGTGCCGTTATTTGTAACTTTAGATGGTTACTAAAACAAAATCTGTCAGTATAGATTTCATTCCCTCATCTTCAGCGCTTTACATTTTGCGCTTGTAGCTCCCTGTCATCTGAAGGCAGAAGGCATTGACTGAGTGATTGACCACTGATATTAACTAATCAATTTGTATTTAGTTCCAGTGCAGCATTGCAGACTTTGTTTATTGCAGCAAGTTGATATGACAAGTGTTTTAAACTATTCCTGAGCGCTGCGTTTCAGATTCAAAGATGCATTCTGCGTGAATGTGTCCTAAATACATGCACGCGCTGATCATTTTGCAGTGAAAACCTGTCGCACGGTACCAATTTTATGCACTCACTCGCACAAATGCTCCCAAATATATTTTGAGGTCGCATAGATAAAATTTTGGGTGCAAATGCAACCAAAAAAACTGCAATTTCGAGCCCTGAGAAGGACTTAACCTAACCGTAAACCTACAGTAAACTGAACATAAACTGTAAACATATCCCTTAATTCTGATTGGAATGCTGCTCCAGGATCAACATACTGTAAATGTTAATCCAGAAACACGTCCTACTTGGAGAAATCAGATTGGCAGTCAGAAACATTTTTTTTATACAATTTGAGTACATTTTTATTGGGACAAAGACACTCCTTAGCTGGAATAAGCTAATATCTCCAATCCAAAGTGCCTAAACCCATTTAAAAGATCCACCTGGCCAGCCTGGGAGACCAAAAAAGCAGAGATTCTGAAGAAAGTGAGAAACATTTCCTTATGTCTTAAAAAAGTAATTCTAGAGGGATTCATGTGTTGTTGTAAAATATCCAGAGTGAAACATAATAAAATTATTTTTGTGGTATTCAGTTGGTCAATATGCTGGCACAAAGGCGCTGAATAGTTCTGTAGCATCCACACATTCCTTGTTTTTTGGTTTTCCTGGAATCTGTAAAACAAAGCAGTCAATATAAGCATATATTAGAACAATTCAAACATTAACAACACTTTTATTGAAATGCATGATTCATGAATTCACCTGATTGCACACAGCTTTTCCAGAGCGTACAAACGTGGCGAAGTGTTCACAATTAAATGTGAGGAGTTTGTAAGTGAACTCCCTGTCCACTAAGCCATTTAGTCTTCTTCTGATTTCATCTGGAGGTGAAGGCTGAATATCGTGCTGGCTATTGCTCACTGAAACACGCGCTCCTTTAGGTACGTTCACCTCTGACAGAAGCTGACGCCGTATCTTAGTTTCTCCCAGCAGAAGATCACCACAAACAGGGAAGACAGTCTGCAGAAATCCCCGAAATGTATTCATCAGCTTATTTTCATCTGGAATGGAAAAAGCTAAATATGAGACTGTTGTAAGAGCACAAGAGAGCTGCTAATTGTATAAGAGCAATATAAGAAATCAAGAATAAGAAATCACGGTCCCACTTTATATTAAGTGGCCTTAACTAATATGTACTTACACAGGAATTAAATTTGTTTATATTTATTACAATGTACTTATTGTGTAAATACATGTATTTATTATGTACTTATGCTTGATTAAATACCTATATGTATTTACATCTGTAATTAACTTCTGTAATTACATTTGTATATACACTGCTGACCATTCCTTACACCTTAACCCACCCTTAAACCTACCCATACCACCAAACCTGTCCATAACCCAACCCCTATCCCAACTCAAGAGCACCACAAGTATTCTCAAATACATTATGAACAGTAAGTACATTGTATTTGCTTTTTGATGTAAGTACATAGTAGTTAAGGACACTTAATATAAAGTGGGACCGAAATCATTTATAAAATTATACAAAACTATAGTTTATAATGAACTCACATATCCATTTATACATGTAAATATGGTATTGTAATTATATTATTATTATTATTATCATCATCATCAGCTTCATTGTCTAAATAAAGTGTCACAGTGAGTCCCATCACATCATTTCAAATTGCTTTACAAATAGCCTTTACTTCTTAACTGCTTCATAAAGGGATAGTTCTACTATAGATGTCAATAATAACCAGCTTCCAACTCTCTTTAAAATATCTTCTTATGTGTTCAGCTAAATAAAGAAAGTTATAATGGTTTGAAACAAGTCGAGGGTTAGTAAATGTAAAAAAGAAGTAGTGTTGAAGATGTAAACCAAATATTAAAACAGCAAATCACATGGCAGCAAGTCTATGCATTTAGACATGGTCAAGACAAACTGCTGAAGGTCAAACTGAGCGTCAGAATGGGAAAGAAACAGGTTTAAAGTGACTGAATTCTGGATCATCTTCTCCCTGATCTCCCTTTCACACCTGCAACTCTCCACGATGGGCATCCAGTGTTCTCCAGCCAGAGGAGGAATGGTCGTGCCCAACTGAGCCTGGTTTCTCTCAAGGTTTTTTCCTTCACTTTCGTCAGTTGGTAAAGCTTGTTCCTCGCCACTGGTTTGCTTGATTTGGGACTTGTGGAGCTGCACATTGATGGATTTGCTCTTCAGTGTTTGGACTTTCAGCAGTGAAAATTAAACCACACTAAACTGAATTTCAACTCTGAAAACTGGACTGATGCAGTTTCAATGTACTAGAACTCCTATGTTAAGTTGCTTTGACACAATCTACATTGTAAAAGTGCTTTACAAATAAACAAGAATTTAACTGAATTGATAGAAAGGCAAGGCTGCGCGAACGCATATCTAGGACCCTCACTACCAGCACTGATGCTCCTCAGGGTTGTGTTCTCTCCCCACTGTTCTTCTTCATCTATACAAATAACTGCACCTCAACAGATCCCTCTGTGAAAGTTCTGAAGCGTGTGAAGGACACTACAGTTATCAAAGATGGACTGGAGTCTGCTTACAGACAGGAGGTTGAGCAGCTAATAATGACTAATAATTCATTCATTCATTTTCTTTTCGGCTTAGTTCTTTTATTGATCTGGGGTCGCCACAGAAAACCCACACGAACACAGGAAGAACTTGCAAAATCCACACAGAAATGCCAACTGACCCAGCCGGGGCTCAAACCAGCGACCTTCTTGCTGTGAGGCGATTGTGCTACCCACTGCTCCACCATGCCGCCCCATGACTAATAATTTTGACTTTAAATGTAAAAAAAAAAATTCAAAACTGCTTTTAATCTAGCAGAAATAAATCAAACAGGAGTTTGTCCAGAAGAAATTTTATAGGAAATACTATTAAAAATTCCTTGCTCTGATTTGGGAAATATTTGAAAAAGAAATATCACAGGAGGGCTAAGAATTGTAACTTTAGCTGTATACGTCAAAATATCATGAACAAAAATTTGATGTTAATCACGTTACAACACATTTTTTTGATGTAAGTTGATGCCAAAAGATTGATGTAAGTCGAGATGATTAGAAAAGTATGTGTATTCAAAATTGGATAACATAAATATAGTCAGTAAATCATGTCAGGTGACAATAATTTAACATTTCACTAAATGAATTGTTTACATTCCTCAGTTTATTGCAGTATTTATGGTAAATCAAGTAAACAATATGATTTTACACACCCATATAAAACAATAATATTTATAGTAAACACTAGAGTTTTTAACTATTATATAGTTAATGAAGGGCAGCACGGTGGCACAGTAAGTAGCACAATCGCCTTACAGCAAGAAGGTCTCTGATTCGAGCCTTGGCATTTCTGAGTTTGCATGATCTCCGCTTGTTCGCGTGGGTTTCCTCTAGGTACTCCAGTTTCCCCCACAAGTCCAAAAATGTGGTATAGGTGAATTGGGTAAGCTAAATTGTCCATAGTGTATGTGTGTAAATGAATGTGTATGGATGTTTTCCAGTGATGGGTTGCAACTGGAAGGACTCCAGCTCCAACATGTGCTGGATAAGTTATCAGTTCATTCCGCTTGGCAACCCCAGATTAATAAAGAGATTAAGCTGTGTAATACACTTCACATTAATGGTTTGAAAACCACTATAGTGTATACAACAGTATTTATTATAAAGGACAGTATTGATTTTTCTTGTGGTAATGGCATGTATATGTCATGAATGAATCACCAACTAACAAGTGCATGTCTTTGGACTGTGGGGGAAACCGGAGCACCCGGAGGAACTTGAACTTTAGACTGCTGAACTAATCATTTCTGGTATTGGACCCGTACAGCTTACATAACTTAGATGAATTATAGTTTTGTGTTGTATGGGATGATACCCTCTTTGTGAATCATGTTAAAGAATCAACATGTAACATATTTTAATTTTATGCATCTGAATATCTAAAGCTAGCTTCAATTATTTTATATTTTCATTTCATCAAGTTCATCAAGATTCTTTGGATTCATCTTCAATATCGCTTCCTTCATGTCATCCCAGACATGCTCAATAATGTTCATGTCTGGTGACTAGGCTGGCCAATCCTGGAGCACCTTGACATTTTTTGCCTTGATGTGGAGGCTTAAGTATGAGAAGGAGCGCTATCCTGCTGAAGAAATTGCCCTCTCATGTGGTTTGTAATGTAAAGAGCAGCACAAATGTCTTGATACCTCAGGCTGTTGATGTTGGATGTTGGATGTAAGACCAATAGGTCTTCTGCAGTATTTGTGATGATTGGGATGCAGTTCAACAGATGATTCATCTGAAAAATCTACCTTCTGCTACAAATGATCTACCTTACAAATGACCAACTAGAAGTCAAGTTATTATTTGTTGCTCCAACAACTGGCATCGATGACAAAAATTTAGTTAGGTAGTGTATACAATAGCGGCTGTATATTGTAATGACTATGTAATTCCAGTGGTATAGTGTGTCATGTTTCTTGAACATGACAATGAGTTCACTATTCTCAAATGACCGTCACAATCCCAAGATCTAAATCCATTTGAGCCCTTTTGAGGTGCTGAAACAGGACATTTACATTATGGAAGGGCAGCCAACAAATGTGCGGTGCTATCATGTCAAAGTAGAGCAAAATCTCAAAGGAATGTTTCCAGATTTTGAGGGATTGTTCACCCCAAAATGAATATTCTGTCATCATTTACTCACCTTTGAGCTTTTTTTTTTGTTTGTTTGTTTTGTCGAACACAAACAAATATATATTGAAGAATGATTGCAACCGGTAAGCGCCGACTTACCTACTATTTGTTTTTCCTAAGGAAGTGAGTGGTTTCCAACATTCTTCAAAATGTCTTCTTATGTGTTCAACAGAAGAAGAAAAAAAATAAACAGGTTTGGAACAAGTTAATGGTGAGTAAATAAAGACAGAATTTTTATTTTGCGGTGAACTATTAGCACTTTTATCATGACGTATATTTTTAACATATGCACATATGACTCATTTTAATGGTTAGAAATGATGTACGTAAATAGACAGTAAACAATATTTTTAATAGATGTTGTATATACGTTTAAGCTCATATGACACTTTTAGACTTGTGAAATTCAAACATGAACTTGTAGGTAATATTTGTAATCTGCATATTGCCATATGTTATATTCTTTCCATAGCTACGTCAATATTTAACATATCAATGTCAAATACAGTGTTGGGAAAAAAGTTATATATTAAAAGCTGTAGTCACTTTAAAAAAAAAAACTTAATGTGTAAGTTTCTTTTAAAGGATGCAATGTAAATATACAGGTATATGTGCTATGTTATTTTATTGTTATTTGCCTTTTTTTTATACTTTTTTTAAAGAGATAAGACGTCAAATTGTAATATATTGCTTTGTTTTACCCAAGTACGCAACACTGAACACAGAAGTCAACATTTGAAGTGGATCCCCACCTTTTGTCAAACATGTCCAATAGAACAACATCCATTCTAGTCCTAGAACAATTTTGAAAATCATTTTTAATTTGCTTCGAATGTTGACTGCTGTATTTATATCAATGAAATATATAGCACTCTCAGCAGTTGGGGTAAGTTTGTCACTAGCTGTCCACTTTGTATAATAGGCTACACTGCAGCATGATAATGTCATTGTTTTTGTATAATTAGTAGAGTATATAGGCCTATAATATCGTATGCTACTTACCCGCAACAGCAAAGTGCACGACGTATCCATCCCCGTCGTACACGCCCCAATGTGCGTAGCCAATAGGATACGAGAACTCGATTAAATCTCCGAACTGCGCGGTGGTTATGAGGTGTTCAACCTGTGCATGACAATTCAAATTGTCAGGAGGATTCCGCCCGTAAGAAGCTGAAGTTACAGGTTTCACAAGTTTGACAACATGACGCCTGCATTCTTTGAGGAACTTGATTTATGTCATTTGTTGTGGCATACATTTAAGGTTATTAAATTATTGTTTAGATCATCTTAAAGCCACTAACTTTAAACTATAGAGGTAGGCTATTTACATAATACTCTCAGCTCGTTCTAAATAGTTCTGTCGCAAAATAAATATTGCAAGTAACCTATAGCCTATCTGACATGAATCTAATGTAACCTCGTTGGTTTTAACGTGACATAAAAATACAGGTGATACATATATTAGTTTTTAAACTTGAACTTGATCAAACATCACATCAGATAATTCCTCAGATAAAGTAATTGCGCAAACATACCTGTTCTTTGAAGTCCATCTCTCGTGTTTTTAGTCGTCAAGAGCAGAAACTACACGCAGGATTTAAATTTCTCTGTCACGCACTGAAGGCGTGGTCACGCGAAAACAATCAGCAGAATGACTTGTTTGAGATGACTTCTTCAGTTTAGCTGCTCCTCCTCTGCTAAATGAATCATGTCGAATGCACTTCTAAGAATCATTTCACAACATTTAAGTTAGAATAAGGTCAAAATTAAGGTCCCCTTTAAGACTGGCTGTTTTGTGATAAACATCCACAACTAAACACTTTATTTACAGTATTACCATGATGAATGAATGACAACCAGCCGACCAGAGAATGACAAACTGATAATCCATCACATTATTTAAAAGATTAAATCAATGAATAAGCAAATGAAGCTCACTAAAAAATAATGTCTGCAAAATTGTTGCAAATAATTTATTTGGGCTAAATTTAAACAAACTAATTCAATTAAGTATGAAAGTTTAACTTAATTTGTTTGTTTAAATTCAGCCCAAATAAATTGTTTGCAACATTTTTGTAGACATCTTTTTCTTTAGTGAGCTTCATTTGCTTATTCAATGATTTAATCTTTTAAATAATGAGATGGATTATCAGTTTGTCATTCTGACCGGCTGATTGTTTACAATCACTTAATCTAAAAAAAAAAAAATTGTAAATCCAAGGAATCATCTTTGAATCACTTTTTTCAGTGATGTAAGATATTTAAACTCATAAATTTCAACTGATCAATTGTCAACCAATCAAATGGACACTTTCATTTGTGGAGTACATATTCGTTAATGTTAGCAGGGATCAATAGCTTTAAATACACCAGTGGTCTCAGCACTTTTGTATAAATGGTGTCCTCTTTCTTTTGAATGATGTCCATACATCAGCATCTTTGTACAGGGTTGCCTAAACCTCCCAGTACCTGATGGGGTTGACTGATGCCATTGTAGAAGACCTGTTGGGCAGAAGTCATCCTCCCCAACTTTGGTGATGTTGTTTAAATGGAGATAAACAACCTGTTAAGAAAGCACAGCTTTGTTTATTTGCTATAATGACATACATTGTAAAATACATGTACCCTTAAAGTTTTCCATATTTTGTGATTACTGTTTTGTTTTCTTCCATTCATGATTTTGAATTGTATCATGGACCTTAATTGTTCCTCCGACAAGTTTTGATGTTAAAAAGTAAAAAAAAAAAAAAAAAAAAGTTTTTTTTTTTTTGACATTTTTAATTGTTTGAAGTGATTGAGCGTGTTAAATCTGTAGATATGTGGGTACTTCATATGAGACAAACCACTGGGCACACTGGTTAGACGGTTGTTGTCAAGGTGCAACTCTCTCAGTTTGGTGAGGTAGGATAAAGCAACATGCTCAATGTGGCGCACCACTAGAGGACACCCAAAACATACTAGAAGTTGTCATAATACAATCTGCTTGCATGCATGCTGTATGCTAATGACACTAAATAAATAGAGATGTGTAAAGTTCACCTCTGCAGCTGTACTGACTGAGATCCACCAGCTCAATGGCTTGAATCTGATTATTGTCCAAATGAAGCTCATGAAGACTGCAGGGAAGGTCTGACAAAAATGAGACACATTCCATATGGGTCAGAATGAGCTGCATTGTGTTCAGAAAAGAATGAGGAGCAGTGTGTGTAGAAGAGAATTTTGTGAAACACAAATACACCTCTATTCCTTATAATTACCCTACCAGGCACAATGTAATTCAAAAATAAAATCTGTAAAAAACAGTAATATTGTGGCAGCACAGTGGCGGAGTGGGTAGCACAATCTGAGCCCCGGCTGGGTCAGTTGGCATTTTTGTGTGGAGTTTGCATGTTCTGTCCGTGTTTGAGTGGGTTTCCTCCAGGTGTTCAGTTTCTCCCACAAGTCTAAAGATATGTGGTATAGGTTGAGTAAGCTATTGTCCGTAGTGTATTTGTGTGAGTGAGAGTGAATGAATGTTTCCAGTGATGGAAGGACATTCGCTGCGTAAAACATATGCTGGATAAGTTGGCAGTTTATTCCGCTGTGTCGACCCCAGATGAATAAAGGGACTAGTCTAAGTAAAAAAGAAAATAAATGAATGAATGAAAGCAATATTGTGAAATAGTGTTACAGTTTAAAATATGGATATTTATATCTTTTTTATTCTATTGGTAGAAACTTCAATACTACAATTTAAAAGGTAAGTGCTGTACACAAAACTGATTTGGAACAACTTAAGGGTGCGTAAATGATGGCATAATTTTCTTTTTGCTTTCTTTTTTTTGGGGGGGGTGAACTATTCCTTTAAATTGATCAAAGGACCAAGTAAAAGAAATGTATGTAGCATGGTTTCCACAAAAAAATATTAAGCAGCAACTGTTTTAAACACTGATAATCATAAGAAAATAGAATTGAAAATTAAATTAAATCTACTTGTTTCTGAGACTATATGTTATCTTTGGGAACCGCTGTGAATTTTCTTAAAATAATGAGCAGCTTAAGACCCATAAATTCTGCTGGTTCTAAACCACTGTTCTGGATTACAACTGTCATGGATCCGCAGCTTCACTAGAGATGAAGGCAGGTTTTTGGGCATGGAAGTCAGAAGGTTGTGTGAAATGTATAACTTCTGCAAATGTTTCAAAGAGAGGAATGCCTTTGGATAAACTTTGGAGATCTGGTTATATCACCAGGACCTGAATCGGGACAGGGGTTATGAATAGCTGATTGGGAAAAAAAGGTGTAAAAACAAATCCTTTTGAAAGTATAGTTAATCTAAAATATGTAATTCTGTCACCGTTTATTCACCATCCACTTGTTTCAAACCTGAAACCTGAAACCAGAAGCTGCCAGTGACTTACACTAGTAGTTTTGTGCAGAAAAAAAGAAACTCATCATTTAGTGTGAGTAAATGATGAGGTGAATCAATCTGACACGCATATTAACAATATTAATTACTCAATTCATTCACACAATTAATAATGAAATAAAAATATTTTGTCTCACATAGAGGTTGGAGAATCTCTGTGATCCTATTTATTGCTCTGCAGGTCCAATAGCAGTGTGTCTGCAGTAATATCAAATGGCACATAACCTAAACCTGTTGAAGAATAATGAACAAACAGGAAGAAAAACATTTTCCAGAATGGAGATCTGAAAATAAAATCAGTGCATTTAAAATGATCAGAGCTAAATAACTAAAGAAGAAAAAAATCTATGTGGATCAAATGTTGTTTCGGTTTTAAATTTAATGTTGTAGACTAAATAAAACAAGATAGCTGAAACTTAACAGGAAATAAAAGCTAACTTATTTACATGGTTATTACACATTGTATTTATATTATGGGTAACACTTTACAATAAGTTTCAGTAGTTAATGCATTTACTAACATGAACTAATCATGAACAACACACAAAAATGTACAGCATTTATTAATCATAATTAAACATTTACTAATGCATTAATAACATCCAAGTCCATGCTTGTTAACATTAGTTAATGCACTATGAGTTAACATGAACTAACAATGAACTACTGTATTTTCATTAACTATCGTTAACTAAAATGAACAAATACAGTAGTAGATGTATTGTTCATTGTTTGTTCATGTTAGTAAATGCATTAATTAACATTATTTAATGAACCTTATTGTGTGACCATATATGTGTGATTAATGGGTAGTTCCTGTATACTCTTTATAACTATATTAATGTGTAGAAACATGCTCTTGCTCTGAAATTACCTTTCTTTCCATCTGCCATCATTAAGTCCTCCAACAGAAATGTAAGAAGTCAGATTTATGAAGTCATGCTTTATTTCTTTTTTTAATTTTGTCATATTAACCATATTTCAAAAAAAGAAACTGAAGTGTTTATAATCAAAAATACCCTGCAGCTGACCAAAATGTTGTACAAAACATCTAAAACTATCGGTATTGCAAAGATGAACACTAGAAAACGATTGTATTGATATGTAACATATAACAAACATTCAGAGAAAAATAATACGATAGATAAATTCATAAACACCAGATGGCGCCAGTTGCATTTGTATAAAAAGAGAGTGTTTTCCGCCGTGTCGGTCCTCCAACATTAATTAACTCAAAATTGACTGAAAGTTAATTCTACTCATTTGAAAAGAGTTTTGAACTCAGTGTTGAAGGTAATGAGTTAATTAAATACCTTAAATGCTTCAGCTCAAATGGGGTAAGTTCACAGTACTCATATACATTAGTTTTTTAACTCAAATGGTCTGTTGCAATCGGTTTCCTCAAACGGTTTGAGTTGTCTTAACTTATTGAGTTTTACAGTACTCAGTTGGTTTGAGTTCTCTATTTATTGGGGTTTACTGCGCTCAAATTGCTTTGTTTACTCAAATGGATTTAGTTCACAGTACTCATTAGGATTAGTTCTTAAACTTAAATGGTTTGTTGCAATCAGTTTCCTTAACCTTCACTTATTGGGTTTTACAGTGAGGCTACCTCTATACACACAAATATAAGTACTGTATGCAGTTGAAAATATAAGTAAAGATATGTGCCATGCCAGTTTAAAAAGTGAAAAGGGACAGTCAGAAAAAAACTATTCTTCATACAATTTGATTACATTCTTTCTGGAAATAAAAAAGATTGTTTAGCTGCAAACTCTCTCCAAAGTGCCTAAAATCAGCCAACAGATCTAACTGGCAAAAAAATGCAAGCGATACTGAAGACATCTTGTGTCATTGAAGAAGAATATTAGGAAAGATAGAAAAAAAAACATTCTGGAAGCATTTGAGTTGTGTGGTAAAATATTCATAATAAAACAAATTATTTTTGTGCTAATCTCTACTTTGGCATTCAGTAGGTCAGCATGCTGGCACAAAGAGACTAAATAGTTTTGTAGCCTCCACACATTCATTGTCTTTTTCTTTTCCTGGAATCTGTAAAACAAAGCAGTCAATTTAAGCATGTTAGAATAATTCAAATGCACAGAACAATTTTTTTGAAAATGAATACATGATTCATGAATTCACCTGATTGCACACAGCTTTTCCAGAGCGGACAAATGTGGCAAAGTGTTCACAATTAAAAGTGAGGAGTTTGTAAGTGAACTCCTTGTTCACTAAGCCATTTAGTCTTCCTCTGATTTCTTCTGGAGGTGAAGGTTGTAGATCGTGCTGGCTATTGCTTACTGAAACAATCGCTCCTTTAGGTACGTTTACTTCTGACAGAAGCTGACGCCGTATCTTAGTTTCTCCCAGCAGAAGATCACCACAAGCAGGGAAGATGGTCTGCAGAAATCCCCGAAATTTACTCATCACCTTACTTTCATCTGGAATGAAAAAAGTCAAATTTGAAAGACTAGCCTACTTATAAAGTGACACACACACTCTCAGAAATAAAGGTGTGTGAGCTGTCACTGGGGTGGTACTTTTTCAAAAGATACAAATTTGTGCCTAAAAGGTCCATATTAATACCTTAAGGGTATATATTAGAACCTAAAAAGTACAAAAGTGTTCTTCTTTAAATTTTTAGGTACTATTATATACTTTTGAGGTACCAATACAGACCCTTTAAGTATAAATGTGTTCCTTTTGAAAAGGTACCATCCCAGTGACAGCTCACACACCTTTTTTTTTCCTCAGAGTGTAATGATGCAGTTTATAACATCCTTTTATACACATAAACAAATTTTATTAGTAGTAATATTAAGTTCATTGCCTAAATGAAGTGTCATAGTAGGTCCCATCATGTGCCAATTAAATATATAATATTAACCTTCATAAATAGAGACATTATTTCAACTGCTTGTTAAAGGAATCGTTCACCCCACCTAAATTTAAAACACCTTCACTTGACAACCTGTTAGACTTTCTTTTTATTCTACTGAACATTCATTTATTAATTTTCCTTTGGCTTAGTTCCTTATTTATCAAGAGTCGCTCTATCTGAACGAACCACCAACTATTCCAGCATATTTAACACAGCGGATGGCCTTTCAGCCACAACCCAGTACTGGCAAACACCCAAACACTCTCACATTCACACACACTCATACACTAAGGTCAATTTACTCCATCCAATTGGGGAGGGGTCTGGCTGGAGACTTGGTGCAGATGCAATCTGAGCTGCATGCAATGCTTTTGAATGGGGTCACCTAACCCCACCCCTAACCCTCACAGTGACGTCACTAGCTCCACTGAGGGAATTGTGTCTGACGTTGCATCTCTAAAAGATTGGCCCTCACCCATCATGGCCTCCCAATCATCCCCGTCCACAGAAATTGGCTGTATCACATTGTCTTTCCACTCCCCCTATAGCCGGTGTGTGGTGAGCGCACCTGCACTGTTGTCCTGTGGCTGCTGTCACATCATCCAAGTGGATGCTGCACACCGGTGGTGGTGTGGAGAGATCCCTTCATTATTGTGAAGCGCACTGGGTGTATGACCATACACAATAAATGCGCTATATAAATACACATTACTTACTTACTATATGTTCAACTGAATAAAGAAACCCATTAAGGTTTGCATCAACATGTAGAAGGGTCATTAAATGGCTAATACGTTTTTATTTTCGGTTAACAACACCTTTAATACAAATATCAAATCAGCCAATCACATGGCAGAAATTAAATGCGTTTAGCAGTGTAGACGTGGTCAAGGCAGGGGTGCAAAGAGTCCAATTTGTTATGCCTTCACTTGCAAACTTCCCTTCGTCATGTTCATGTTACACAACCAAGATGCAAACATAAATAAATAACCTGGCATATGACCTGGGCCACTTTATGCCTGGGCCCTTGGCCTAAAACCAACACAGATCCAGCCTATATGTGGTTTACTCCCTGTTCAAATAATGCATGGGTTTTATGTGGCCAAAGTCTGGCACAGACACTATCAGACAGATCTGGCTGAGATAGGGCCAGATCTGGTGCATGCACTAAAGAGAGATACTTTTCATCAGGGTAACAACCATGTGGGCACAGGACATCAACATGATCTTATATTAACGTTGTACCCCAATGTACCCAAACATCATAGGGACGTTGGATTTTGTTTGGAAATGAAAATCGGGTTGACGTCAAAACCCAACATCACCAATGTCAATGTCTAATGTCCAACCTAAAATCAATCAAATATCAATGTCTAATCATGTTACATTTTGTGGACGTTATTACTGTGACATCTATCAGATGTTGGATTTTGGTCACTTACCAACACAACCTAAAATCAACCATATTTCAACATAATTTGACAGCGTTATTGGACATCAAAATAACGTTGTCCTTAGACTTTGGCTAGAAATTGAATTTTGGTCACTTGACGTCGTCATCTAAATAACCTAATATTAATGTCTATGATGTTGTGTGCCTGCTGGGAACATAATGGCATGACCGAAGATGCACAGGTGGATCCATACAGGTGGACTAAACGCATGTTGTAAAATTTCCTCCTCATCACCCTGTTGTCAATATACGTTAACTATGCGGCAGCAAAATCAAACGCATATTCATGTAAATATTAAGATTAATGAACTTTTGCAGTTATTATAAATGTGAGTTATTTTAATAATTGCTTTATTTTTCATGTGTCATATTTTTCAGTACAAAAAAAGCAGTTGTTAATAACGGAAGAATTCATTGCTAACAATAATTAGTTCAATAAAATACAGACAAGAGTGGTGTTTTGTGGAGGTAGAAAAACTATTACAACACAACCTGTTTTCCCTAGTAAAAATCTTGACATCAAATCTTCTCTTCAAAAATCTTGACATGCAAGCAAAATCAGTGATGGACAGTGGTGTGTTGCTCCCTAGATCACAATTAAAGTGGAACACACTGGCAGTAGGGCACATAGATAAACGCTTAGGGAAGTTGGCGAGTGTGGAACAGAGTCAAGCTGCCATTATTCAAACTGCGCATCAGAATGGGGAAGAAAGGTGTTTAAGCATTGCACAAAGTCATAACTGGAACTAATATTTGTATTGTATTAATAGTTTTTAAAATTACATCATAACTAAATAGTTTTAATTCCTACCAGCAACATTTCGACCATTAAACGATTCTATGTTTGTGTATCAAAAACTATTTTATAGATTTTCCTTTTATTTATTTAATTTATTTTATTTAATAAATACTGATGTATTTATGTAGTTTATTTTGATGTGGTATGTAATTCTTTTCAGCATTTGTTCAGTTCTATCTAAATTATCAGCCAAGTGATAAGCCAATCATATCATTGCATAATTCATGTACTAATTGACACTGATTTAAAATTGCTGGTATTCAGGCACACTAGATTGAAAGATCTTGGAGCTGTTTGTAAGGTGTGTGTGTGTGTGTGATTTTTTTCCACACATGGTAACACTTTATAATAACTTCACACTATAAACCATTTATTAAGCATTAGCAAATAGTGAATTCATTATTTGTTAAGCATTAACTCTACATTAATAAATGTTAGTATGCAGTTTATAACTGCAGCTATTAATGCTGTATTCTTGACTTACAACCACATTTATAATGTGCTTAATAATTGTACTTTCATACTTTGTTAATGATTTATTTTTCATTACTAAATGAAGTATTGCATTATTTACAAACCAGTTGTATTTAAGAGTAGTTGGAGGTTTTTAACATCATTCAGAATGAGTTAGTAAATGATTAATAAACTATTGAAATCAAGTTTTATAGATCTTATTATTCAGGCATATGTTAATGGTTATATGTATGTTAACAAATGCTTTATTAACTCAACTTCATGCAGTTTTGTGACCTAATCTAAAGTGAGGACTATTTATGCTTCATAAATCCCTTATAAATGATAATTAAAGGTTTGGTATCAAATGAACAATAATCATTGCAATCTTATCTAAAAAGTCAAATTATTGTAAATATTAAACATTGCTGAATAACAGGAGTATCAAAATATGACATAAAATTGTATAAAACAACAATAATATAATCATTTAACAATATAAAAAGATGCAATGTTTAAACTCTACAGTCATTTTATTTTAGATCAGGTTGCACGGATTTCCTTTTCATTTGATACAGTTTGATTTGTGTATCTTCAAATGAATAGAAATGAATAATGTTGTTTATGTACTTCTTTCCTTTTTAGAATTTAACCGACTCTTTAATTGCCATATATATAAGGCATTTATAAAGCAAGAATAGTCCTCACTTTAGATTAGGTCACACAACTGAATGAAGTTGAGTTAATAAAGCATTTATTAACACATTAGTTAACTATAAATATATGCCTGAATAATAAGATATTCATTCAGAATGAGTTAGTAAATGATTATTAAACGATTGAAATCAACATTTATATAAAAACTGAACTACACTGTTCCAGTTACTATGACCATTTATGTGAAGCTGCTTTGACACAATCTACATTGTAAAAGCACTATACAAATAAAGCTGAATTAAATTGAATATATTTTATTATTCAGGCATATATTTATAGTTAACTAATGTGTTAATAAATGCTTTATGACAATTATATATATATGACAATTAAAGAGTCGGTTAAATTCTAAAAAGGAAAGAAGTACATAAACAACATTATTCATTTCTATTCATTTGAAGATACACAAATCAAACTGTATCAAATGAAAAGGAAATCCGTGCAACCTGATCTAAAATAAAATGACTGTACAGTTTAAACATTGCATCTTTTTATATTGTTAAATGATTATATTATTGTTGTTTTATACAATTTTATGTCATATTTTGATACTCCTGTTATTCAGCAATGTTTAATATTTACAATAATTTGACTTTTTAGATAAGATTGCAATGATTATTTTTCATTTGATACCAAACCTTTAATTATCATTCATAAGGGATTTATGAAGCATAAATAGTCCTCACTTTAGATTAGGTCACAAAACTGCATGAAGTTGAGTTAATAAAGCATTTGTTAACATACATATAACCATTAACATATGCCTGAATAATAAGATCTATAAACCTTGATTTCAATAGTTTATTAATCATTTACTAACTCATTCTGAATGATCTTAAAAAACCACCAACTATGCTTAAATAACTGGTTTGTAAATAATGCAATACTTATTTAAGTAATGAAAAATAAATCATTAACAAAGTATGAAAGTACAATTATTAAGCACATTATACATGTGGTTGTAAGTCAAGAATACAGCATTAATAGCTGCAGGTATAAACTGTTTACTAACATTTATTAATGTAGAGTTAATGCTTAACAAATAATGAATTCACTATTTGCTAATGCTTAATAAATGATTCATAGTGTGTAGTTATTATAAAGTATATATATATATATATACACACACACACACACACACACACACACACACACACACACATACACATACACACAGGACATTTAGGTTTGTTACTTTTTTTATTTTGTCATTTGTGTGTCAAGTCGACATGTGCTCAAAATGAAAGTGGATTGCTCTTTTTTAATGATGGTGGGAATTTCCCCTGAAAGGAAGTGCTCAGGGGAGTTGGAGGGTGAGTAAAAGGGGTGGAGTGCAACCAAGATGCTAAAGCTCAAACTGAGCTTCAGAATGGGGAAGAGAGGTGTTAATTGACTTCCTTATTGCACAACATCCAACTGGAATCTATAAATGACAGCAGAGCTAACATCTTTCATAATTAATTAAATAGTTTTTCATGCCCGCAACATTTCAACCATTTAACAATTAAAATGTTAGTCTCAGTATTTGTGTATGAAATATTAAATGTAGGGGCGGCATGGTAGCTCAGTGGTTGGCACTGTCGCCTTACAGCAAGAAGGTTGCTGGTTCGAGTCCCGGCTAGGCCAGTTGGCATATCTGTGTGGAGTTGCAATTTCTCCCCATGTTGACATGGGTTTCCAACATTCTTAGTTATAAAATATGTTAACATTTAATATTGTCATAGACACTTTGCAAGAACATGCTTATTAGTTGGGGAACGTTGTTACTACATGCCTATTATCTGTCCACCTTCTATGCTAATACTTCCCATATCATGACCGTCCCCATCACCCTGTAAACCTAGGATGCTGCACACTGGTGGTGGTTGAGGATATCCCCCTTCCCAATTGCTGGAAGTAAGGAATTATTTATTAATTATTAACTTACCAGCAACAGCAAAGTGCACGACGTATCCATCTCCCTCGTACACGCCCCAGTGTGAGTAGCCAATGGGATACGCGAACTCGATTAAATCTCCGAGCTGCGCACTGGATATAACATTTTCAACCTGTGCATCACATTTTCAGCCAGTCAGGATTTTCTGCCAGTATGCAGCTGAAGTTACAGGCTTCACAAGTTTGACAACATGACAGCAGCATTCTTTCAGGAACTTAATTCTTAAAATCATATAGTGGCATAAGGTTACAGTGAAACTAGAAAATAGTTTAACCCTCATGTTTTCTTACAAGTCATGTAGCTTAAAAATGACCCATCTTAACTAAACAGCTCTAAAAAAAAAAAGGCGGTTTAGTTGAGCTCTCAAATCTATTTTGCATGAAGGAACCTTATCTTCATCATAAACTTTGAATGTCTGGGTCAGGGATGCTCAAACTTAGTCCTGGAGAACTGGTGTCCTGCATATTTTAGTTCCAACCCCATTTAAACACACCTAAGGCAGCTAATTAACCTCATTCTAGGTATACAAAACCTTCCTGGAAGGTGTGTTGAAGGAAGTTGGTTCTATATGCAGTTCACCGACCCTCCAGGACAGAATATGCACACTCCTTGGTCTAAGATTTCCCTCATCGCAGGAGTATTTCATCAATGAGGCAAACTTTTTCACTTTTGACTAAAGTAAAGGGTCTATTTTCTAATGGTAAAAGTACCAGCAAAATGTTTTTAGCAAGTATTTGTAAAAGTTAAAGAAGCAGATGGTTATTGTGTGTGTTTGAGGGCGGATGTTGGAGTGTGAATGTGTGTGCCAGATTGTGGTGAAAAAAATGTTTCAGACAGGTCAAAATTGACCAAAAGGATGACTGTTGTACCCTAAATGTGTACAGCTTTCATAAAAATAAAAGAATATTTATTTTAATGTGGAGTAATTGTAAAAAAATCTGAAAATTTCCAAATAAAATACATTGTTTATTTATTTATTTTTTTGCAGCTGGTAAAATGGTGCACCGGTCATAGGTTAACATATGATATACTAGGAGAGATACTTTAATGTTTAACTTCAACATAAAACTTGAGTTGTACTATAGTTGCATAAAAATCGTAAGCCACTTGAAATGATTCTGTTGCTCAATAAATAATATTTAGAAAAATATTGCAAGTATATTCTAAATGAAGAATACATGACATAAAAAAAATACAGATTTGACAAGTTTCTAAACTTGAAGTTGAAATATTCAAACCACACATCAGATAATTCAGTAAACGTGCAGTCTTACCTGTTCCTGGTAGTCCATCTCTCCTGTTTAAGACGTTAAGAGTAGAAACTGCATGCGAAAGGAATTAAGTTTCTCTGCCAAGCCTTTAAAGCGTGGCCACACGAAAACAATCAGCAGAATGACTTGTTTAAGAAGACTGTCTTCCTCCAGTCTAAATTGTTTACTCCACCTTCAAATGTACTGCCACTTCTGCGTATTTAATAATGCCTCAGAATGCACTTCTTAGGATCATTTCACAACATTTAAATTAGAAGAAAATAAGGTCACCTTTAAGACCGGCTGTTTTGTGATCCACGTAATAAATCCACTTTATTACAGTATTACAATAATGAATGAGGGACAATCAGCCAGCCAGAATGACAAACTGAGAATTTATCTCATTAGTTAAAGACGCAATCAATCGAAACTAAGCAAATGAAGCTGTTAGATATTTCAAGTCAACTAAACTGATCAAAAAAGGCACTTCTTGTGGAGTACATATTCATTAATGTTAGCAGGGAATTACACACACATCAATAGTTTTGAATACACCAGTGGTTATACAACCACCTTTGTTTAAATGAAGTCCACGTTTCTTCTGATTTATGCCTCTGTACATCTTATTCGCTCAAATATCTTGACGATTTACACAAATTATGGGCTCATTTTTGTCTTGTTCTCCTCTTGGATTGGTTTTGTTAGTGGTTTATTTCTTGTGGTTGCCAAACTGTACGGCCATCTGGTCACTGACGCAGCGGAACGTAGAGGGCTGCACCTCCCAGTACCTGATTGGGTTGTCAAACAGACTGATGCCGTTGTAGAAGACCTTCTTCAGCCCGAATCCTGTAGGGCAGAAGTCATCCTCCCCAACATTGGTGATGTTGTTTGAATGAAGGTAAACAACCTGTAAAGAAAGCACAGTTCAGTTTATTTACCATACAATAAATACACTGCAAAAATATCCATAATCAATTTCTGAATTTTTTCAAAGATATTGAATAATGTCCTCCAATTTATCTCAATGCATTTAGGCATGTAGACATGATCAAGATGATCCGCTGCAGTTCAAACCGAGCATCAAAATAGAGAAGAAAAGTGATTTAAGTGACTTTAAACGCGGCATGGTTGTTGGTGCCAGGCTGGTCTGAGTATTTCAGAAATCTACTGAGATTTTCACGCACAACCATCTCTAGGGTTTACAGAGAATGGTCCAAAAAAAGAAAAGAAAATTCCCAGTGAGCGGCAGTTCTGTGGGCGCAAATGCTTTGTTGATTCCAGAGGAGAATGGCCAGACTGGTTCGAGCTGATAGAAAGGCAACAGTAACTCAAATAACTACTCACTACAACCGAGGTCTGCAGAAGAGCATCTCTGAAAGCACAACACATTGAACCTTGAGGCGGATGGGCTGCAGCAGCAGAAGACCACACCAGGTGCCACTTCTGTCAGCTAAGAACAGGAAACTGAGGCTACAATTCACACAGGCTCATCCAAAATTGGACAATGGAAGTTTGTAAAAACGTTGCCTGGTCTGATGAGTCTCGATTTCTGCTGCGACATTTGAATGGTAGGGTCAGAATTTGGTGTCTACAACATGAAAGCATGGATCCATTCTTTCTTGTATCAATAGTTCAGGCTGGTGGTGGTGGTGTAATGGTGTGGGGGATATTTTCTTGGCTCATTTTGGGCCCATTAGTACCAACTGAGCATCGTGTCAACGTTACAGCCTACCTGAGTATTGTTGCTGACCATGTCCATCCCTTTATGACCACAGTGTACCCCCATCTTCTGATGGCTAATTCCAGCAGAATAACGCACCATGTTATAAAGAGCGAATCATCTCAGACTGGTTTCTTGAACATGACAATGAGTTTACTGTACTCAAATGGCCTCCACAGTCACCAGTTCTCAATCCAATAGAGCAGCTTTGGGATGTGGTGGAACATAAGATTTGCATCATGATGATGCTATCATGTCAATATGGACCAAAATCTCTATGGAGTATTTCCAGTACCTTGTTGAATCTATGCCACCAAGGATTATGGCCGTTCTGAAGGCAAAAGGGGTCCAACCAGGTACTAGTAAGTTGTTCCTACTAAAATAGCCGGTGAATATCTTCACAAATAAACTTTCCTTCTATTTAATAATTGCTACAAGGCTTATAACGCTGAACTAGAAAAATCCTTCTCCACACAATTATATTCATTTGATGCATGATCTGATACAGACTTTTAAAATGTAATAGATCAAATTTACTGTATGCGGTAATGGCATCACAGATAGAAGGTCACTAGTTCGAGTCCCAGCTGGGTCAGGTGAACTGAATAAGCTAAATTGGCCGTAGTGTATGTGTGTGAAAGAGTGTGTATGGGTGTTTCCCAGTGATGGGTTGCAGCTGGAAATGCATCCGCTGCATGAAACATACAGTATGTCGGTTCATTCTCCTGTGGCGACCCCAGAATAATAAAGGGACTAAGCCAAAAATGAATGAATAAATGAATATGCAAAATTGTCAACTCTTCCTTCAAATGTTAAAAAAAATTAAAGTATGTGATAAAAAAAACCCCGACACCTGGTCTATTTTCATTGGCCCTGACTTATTCATAAATGGAGAACACAGAGAAAGTATTCATGTTTATATGCTGTAGCTTTTTATTTGATTTAGATTTATTTCCTTTTCTTTTTTATTGCTGTACCATTGGTATATTAGTATTTACATATTTATCTGTATTGGATCTTATTATTATATATTTCTTTTATTATTAGTACATCTGTTTCGAATATTTTTGATGTATGAATTTATCATTGTACAATTTTTGATTCAGTAAGAAAATGTCAACTAATTTTGCTTTCTGCTGACAGATTAATGTCTTACTGATTCTTTATATTTAAAGCAGGACCTATGATGCCCTTTCTACAAGATGTAAAAAAGTCTATGAGGTCCCTATGAGTCTATGAGTGTGTATATGAAGTTTCAGCTTAAAATAGCACATAATTTTAGTTTCATAACTCTTTGAAACTAGCCCTTTTAGGCTTTGACCTACTGAGGGAAAGATGTTTGAGGTACAAAAGAGTTTACGTGGGTTTCCTCCAGGTGCTCCGGTTTCCCCCACAGACCAAAGACATGTGGTAGGTGAATTGGGTAAGCTAAATTGTCCGTAGTGTAGCAGTGTGAATGAGTGTGTATGTTTCCCAGTGATGGGTTGCATCTTGAAGGGCATCTGCTGCTTAAAACATATGCTGAATAAGTTGGCGGTTCATTCCGCTGTGGCGATCCCTAGATCAATAAAGGGACTAAGCCAAAAGAAAATGAATGTATGACAAAACAAGGAATGAGGATCCAGGAACAAGGAACACTATGTAATGTACATAACATGAATGACTTGGCACTGATGTGTGTGTGTGTGTGTGTGTGTGTGTGTGTGTGTGTGTGTGTGTGTGTGTGTGTGTGTGTGCGTGTAATGTGCAGGATGATTAACCCAATGCACGATAGAATATGTAAGCAAGTCAACTCAATTCAGTTGTATTTGTATAGCGCTTTTCCCAATAATTATCTTTACAAAGCAGCTCTATAGTTTGGACAGTATATTAAATAGTTAACCTGAAGTTATACAGTTTATAGTGTCCAACATTTCCATGTCTATGTGTAAGGCGTGTTACAGCACACAGAGTTTACATTTCCATATCGGTACAGTACAACGGGAATAATAACAAATCCCTAGTGCTTGCTTTTCAGTTTTCAGGGGGTGGGAAATGTCCTTCAGCCTGGGTTTGAACTGGGACGCCCTGAAGTGCTAATGCACCATATGTCAGTGCGCTAACCACTAGCCTTTTGCGCCAACAATGAGCATGATTTTGGACAACTTATAGACACTAGCTATGTTTCCATCCTAAGATGCAAATTAAATCTATGCAGAAAACTGCATTTTTTCCATCCAACGAGTCAGAGAGAACAAAATCATCACTTCCTGAATAACTGCCACCAAAACATCAAAAGTATGAATGGAATTAGCTGCGGTTGGAGAAGCTCGGTCAATCTTTTCCTTATTTAATAAATGACTTGCACCTTAGAAGACAATGCTGGAATGCAGTGATCGCGTGGTGGCGTTTGAAGGTGTGAGATGCGAAGCGCAGACGCTCTCGACAGTTCTAGGTAATTAATAATATGGTAACACTAATACTGAAATGGTTACGGCGTTTTAGAATGACTAAAACAACAGTTCATATGTTCTACGGTGTGCTCAGCATGCTGGTTTGTTCATTCACACACATTTTTATCATCACATGATCTCTTATAACAAAATCACATGACCTTTTTGTAATGCGCATACTGGAATTTGTTCGGTAAAAGTGTTTCCATCATAGTCTATGTGCATCTTTTCTTATCGAATAAAAAGTTGATCCTACTCAGTTATGCGCATACATCTTTTACGCGCATTTTTAAAATTGATGCGCATCTTGGCGTTCCCATCAATCGTTTTTTTATGTGCATATCCAAAGTGCACATAAAAATAGGAGGATGGAAACATAGTTAATGTGTCAAGATGCAAAAGTTTCAGATTTACACGCAGTGGCGATCATTAATGTCAGTCTCACAGCAGTGGACCAATGAGAAGAACTTGAAATTGGCATGACAATGGCAACATGGCATAGGCGGAACCACTTCTGAGTGCTGCATCTTGTGTTTTCAGATGCAAAGATGCGTTCTTTGTGAATTTGCTCTGCTGTGGTCTTTTCTGTCAAACTCCAGTAATTGGCACATCTGGACTGACTGCATTCATTGTGGGAGTGCATGAACCGAGCAGTCACCTATGTATAATAATAGTTCGGAATGAATCCAAACAGTGGTTACACCCCTACTATATGTATATTACATGTTCAGTGAAGTGTATTTGATTATGTTGACCTCAAAGTTTATTATTTATGTACTAAGTTATTTATTTATAGCACATTTCAACTGATTTGAATGTTATCACTCGATTGAATGGTGTTATCAGAGGTTATCAGCGGATAGATATACGCCTACTAGGTTCAGAAGGCTGTTGTCATCCATCGATATGGTTAATCACCTATAGATCACATACGGCTACGGCCAGACGTTAACAAGAGATATTTTTATTATTTA